TTTTTAGTTCTTTGACAATTTTCTCTATTTCCTCATTGGTGACTAATACAGTATAAGCAGTTTTTCTAACTCTTCTAGAACTTTTGAGTCAATTTTATTTTCCCAGAGAGCCATATATGATATGGAGGGCTCGGATGTTCTTTTTTTGGTACAAATATATATGTGTGTGACATTTATCATTCCTGATATTGTCTCTTCGTCTTCTCTCTCTAGATTAGCTTTCCCAAATACGTTTGTTTGTTTTCCCTCCAAAAAACAAGCTCTTAGATTTGTTTGGAGTTCCTCTGCTTTTCCATCGTTGGGTGTGTTGCTCTGGGGAGCAGACTTTGGGAGTCCCTCCTGCTGGGGTCATGGAGGCAGCCTGGGGTCATGATTGGGGGCATGAGCTCTAGAACCAGATGGTCTGAGTTTCAAGTCCTCATTGCTTCACTTATTAGCTATGTGACCTTGAATAGCTGTGTTTGGTTTCCCTGTCTGTAGAATGGGGGGAATATCGTACCTACTTTATAGGCTCCAAATTAACATTAAAGAGGTGATGTTTTTTAAGTGCTTAAAGAGTGTCTGGCACATAGGAAGCACCATATAAGTAGTTCTTAAGTAAATCTAGACTTCTCTACAGCATGCTAGAAGCCTAGTTCCCCTAGGAGCATCTCCCTTTCCCCAAATATACTTTCTGCACTTTCCCACCATGAGCACTAACGAATCGCCTCTTATTTTGCAGAACTACCTCTATGCAGAAAGGCAACCACTTTGCTTTCCATTCTGCCGTCTGAGACAACCACATCCTCCTAGCACCCCCACAGGCTTCCATGGAGAGCTCAGGTTAGTGTGGTGTGGGGGAGAGGGGTCTTGTGAGTCCGGCTGCTAAGGGGAGAAGTCCCCTCGTGAAGGTGAGAATGCCCCCAGGGCTGGCAAGGACCACCCATACCCAGCCAGGCAGTGAGACCCCAATTCAGCTGCCCAAATGTGAAGACATCTTGAAGGATGGACATCCACATACTTGTATGAGGCCCCAGCTGCTTGCAGGTCACTGAGCTGGATAACGGGTATGATGACAAGAGTAGTCAAGATTTATCACCAGACACTTGAGATTATTTAACAAAAACCTGTATAGCACTTATAATGTATCAAGGAATAATAAAGGCACTTGACGAATATTAACTCATTTAGTCTTCATACAACCCCACAAGACAGGTATTGATATTACTCTTATCTTACAGAAGGGAAACTGAGGCATGGCGAGGGTGGGTATTTTTCCCAAGGTCACTGTATAGATATACAGTCAAATCAGGATTTGAACCCAGCAATCTAGCTCCAGCATCCATGCTCTCAATGATTTCACTATGGATTGACTCATGGAAACGTCAAAAGGATTCTGGGAGGTAGGGATATCACTAACATTATCCTTGTTTTACTGAAAGGGAAACTGAGGCTCAGAGGAGTTGGGTAATTTGCTCAAAGCCACACAGCTAGTAAGTGGCAAAGCCAGGACTGGAACCCAGTTGGCTGATTCCAAAGCCTAGACCCTTTGCCCTATGTCAACCTGAGACAACGAGGTGAGATGACCGTTCCCCCAAGATTTGTATCATCTAATCATCTATCACAGCAAGTCAAAGACCACTCCTCAGGCCACCCACCATAGACTCCACTGTCCTGAAGAAGGGGAGGGGACCCCCAGGCGGGAACAGCTACTTGATTGTTATCATCCCTGCAACACGGATTCTTTCCACATTCCACTCATCCTCAAAGAGCCTCGTGCAATCAGAAGAAGCTCCACTGAGTTGGGCAACCCTGGTGAATCGTGGCGTTGCAATATTCCGGTTGTCTTTAGCTGCCTGGGGTTTGAGCTGGAAGACTGCAGGTGGGGCAGCACTGTGAAAATCTCCTATTTTATTTTTTGTTTTTTGGTGGCTGGTAAGGGGATGCAAACCTTTGACTTTGGTGCTATAACACCATGTTCTAACCAACTGAGCTAACTGGCAGGCCCTCCCACCAACTTACTTTGCACTCACTGTA